TTAAGACGATACCGTCGTCTAATGGATCCAAGTTTTCCATAATGATCTAACTTTAATTGACTCATGAATTCAACTATTGTAATTACATCGAATCTATTGAATAAATTAATCGAATTTATATTTTATATTCCATATTCTTCATACAATTTCATAATAATAGACTCATGAAATTAGTATAAAATCAATATCAAAGTAATTTGAAGATCTAAATAATATTTACTTAATCTATTTTCAATTATTAATCAAGTATAATTCTTGATATTCAAGAAGAATAATTCATGGAATACATTTATTTTCATTACAGAAAAAGAGATAGAGACAAATCCAAAAAGAGTGAGAGAGACAGAGAGAGAGAGAGAGACAAAGCGAGCGAGAGAGAACTTTCCACTCGAATCTAATTATTGTCCGCCATGCATTAGTTACTAAGGTATTCTATTTGAATTTTCTATCGGGAATCATTTAAATAAATCAAAACAAACTAACTAACAAAACAGAGAAAAAAGATTAAATTTTAAATGAGACAAAGTTTCTTTTTTCGGAAACCGACATAAAAACAAAATAGAACAATTAATCAATATGAATAGAATAATCTAGGGGGGGGTTGGGATGGGCGGTTGGTTGGTGGAAAAAAGGTAAAAAAAAAAGATGAAATAAACCAATAGTCTAACTGAAAATATTTTTTAGTATAATTGAATTTCGGTAAAAGAATCAATCGATTTTAGTTATATTTGAGAATAATTAACAAAATGAGCAAATGTTTTAAATGTCAATAATCATAGTGATAAGTCTTGCTAATCAGTCCCTTAACTATTCTCATAACCCCCAAGTTAGAACTACATAGCGACCGGAATACGATAGAAAAGGCGCAAAATATGCAAAAAGCACTTCACTTCAAACGTTCGTTTTACTAAAGAAAACATAGGGTTTTATAGTATTTTAGATGTCGTTGGTTTTCCCCAAGATTTTGAAATGCTACTAAACACAGTAGTAGTGTATGTATTCATCCAATCAGAAACTCTACATGTAACTTTTCGCTTTCTTGATGTTTCTGGCTAAAATTCAAGTGAACACTGATTGGATTAAATGCTTTTTAGTACTTCCTGAATCTTTCTTGTCTTTTGTGTGAAGTTTTCTGGATCATTCCAACATATAGTGACATTGGAACCTACTATATATTTCCATAATAGCTAGTTCTTTATTCATTCAGATAATTAGATAAAAATGGTAATAAATTAAATAAATAAAGCAAGAACAAATAATGGTGCAGAATAGTATGAATTCATATTATTTCGAGGTTTCTCGTCAGCTGCTTACAAACCAAAATTGTGATAGAATTTTTATATTGAGATATAGTGAAAACAATTGACATAGATGAGTGTAAATAACTGGGTTACAATAATAACTATATATATGCTAGAACAGGTCAGAGGTCAAAAGGAATTAATTCGGGTTGGGTGGTGTAATAATGGAATTGAATAATTATAAGATAGGTTACGTAATAATAATAAAATAGAATTTGAAAAGTTAAGATAATTTAAGAGGATCAGGTGGCGGAAATGTTTGAATGATAATGTGGTTTAAGAATTATGTAATAGGGGAGGAGTATAAATATTTTAAAATAAATAAATAAATAAAATAAAAAGGGGTTACCAGGGTAGTGATAAGTTAATTAAAGTCTCTTTTTGGATGCATAAGTCAGGTCTGAGTTTTTTTATCATAATGGCTTCAGCAAAACGGAGGGTGGTCGTACTTCTTTGTCTATTGATAATTTTGAAAGCATGTGGAATTTCGATGGTGTGCCCGGTGTCAAGTAGATGTCGAGCTATTGCGCTGTTGAAGGCCTTATTCCCTCGTATCCTCAAGTTTTTTGGAACATGCTCAGAAATGCGGACATGCACTCTTCTCTCAGTTCTTCCAATGTATGTGCTTTGGCACGTACATGTGAATTGGTAGATGCAGTTGGAGCTGAAGCCATCATGATAAAAAACTCAGACCTGACTTATGCATCCAAAAAGAGACTTTAATTAACTTATCACTACCCTGGTAACCCCTTTTTATTTTATTTATTTATTTATTTTAAAATATTTATACTCCTCCCCTATTACATAATTCTTAAACTACATTATCATTCAAACATTTCCGCCACCTGATCCTCTTAAATTATCTTAACTTTTCAAATTCTATTTTATTATTATTACGTAACCTATCTTATAATTATTCAATTCCATTATTACACCACCCAACCCGAATTAATTCCTTTTGACCTCTGACCTGTTCTAGCATATATATAGTTATTATTGTAACCCAGTTATTTACACTCATCTATGTCAATTGTTTTCACTATATCTCAATATAAAAATTCTATCACAATTTTGGTTTGTAAGCAGCTGACGAGAAACCTCGAAATAATATGAATTCATACTATTCTGCACCATTATTTGTTCTTGCTTTATTTAAATTCATAAAGGTAATAAATTAGTTAAACCGGTATGTTATTCATATTGTGGTGTGTGTTACTGATGTTGACAGATAAATGTACTATGTATCATAGATTGAAAATGAATTGTCTGATGGCAAAATGTTAAGATCAAAGAAAAGAGAATGAGAACAGAAAATGATTGGTATGGACATGAAAGAATAAACAAATCTGAGACGACTGATTGACGTTTTGGAAATGAAGTATCTACTGTATAGTTCTCAGATTTTAATAAGAGATTCTGTAATTTTGTGTTTAAACGCATTCGGTTGTTCCAATATCGAGGCAATCTGCACACGATACACATATGCCAATAAGAGACCGATCAATTCCAGTCCTAAATAACAGTAGGAAGATACACGGAAAACAACATCAAGTGAATATAAACTTCACCATATTGCACAAGTAGGTGGCTATCAGGACTCAGTAGCTAAGTGGAGAACGCGATGGCATTTGAAGCGAACGGTACTGCATTCAGTTCCCGGAGTGAACATCAACTCAGGAATGCAGGTACATCCAGCCGACCAGTCCCAAAAAGAACGAAATGCGCCTAAAACTGGATTCCACTGTTAGCCACTATCCATCTTTGCTTATAAAGCTTGTGACTTTAGCCATCATCGAGGCAATCCGCACAGAATTCACATATGCCAACAAGAAACTCATCAACTGCAGTCCTAAATAATAATTGGAAGATACAAGTAAAACAACACCAAGTGAATATTTACTGTATGGTTCGCCGATTGTACTAAGAGATTTTGTAATTTTGAGTATAAATACATTTGGTTGTCTCCAATTGTGTTCTCGTTCATTGCAATATCACTATCGACAATAGTTTGAATTATCCTAATGTTTGTATCCGCAAGTGAATTTCAGTCATTTATTGTTGGCTTATGAAGGATTTTCGTGAATAGTTTCTTTGTGGCTCGTCAGTTGTTTATCTGCATCGCTAAATTCATGTTCATACTGTAACTCGAATTATATCTTCACCACTTCAAACTCATCACTCAACATGTTATCGGATGAATTGATAAGATGAATTGCTTTCTAACTTGTTCATTACAATACTAATGACTTTAATGCTTTGATTATGACATATATACATCAAAATTATTACCAACTTCAGTGAAATTTACCTTGGTTCATTAATGATTTCTTCTAATGTTTCTATAATAAAATAGAATGATAGAAATAATTTCTGTTTGTTATGATATACGATTATTATGCAAGTATTGACCGAGAATCTATAACCTCAGACTATGCACTCTACTGGTATACTCTATACATAGATTGGGATCACTTCGTATTATATAAACAGTTCACAACTAACAATCAAATACCACTGTATAGGTAAGTTAATGTTTTATTCAATACAATTATAAACAATCTGCATTCAAGTTAGTTCAAAATAGAGATAAATAATAGGAAGGAAATAACTTATCAAATTGTTGATAACCTGAGTAACTGTCTGTCACATTGTACTTTCACTGGACACATATCCCTCATCTTCGATCTTCTTGATGATGATGATATATATTTACTCTTAAATGTTTAGAAACTGTGAGGAAACGTTGATAGATACCTAATGAACTCAACTGAACTTGTGTTATTTTGTCAGAATCTTTCGTTTCGCTAGTGTTCAAGATGATAAGTAGAACTGTGTATATAAAAATTATATGTTTGAATAACTATTTTGTTTGTATAAAATGTAGTCAGTCAGCTAAAACGTTGGACCACGAGCATTTATTTACGTCGGTTTAGGCTGTTACACCTCATTGGTACAACAAGATGAACACCAAATTCATAGATAGAGTTACTTCAGTGGTAGTTACCTATTAAAGAAAGATTGTGTATAAGAAAAGTTAGAAATAATTTTAATCTCACAATTTAACAGAAGGCAGAGTGTATACATCTATGCCACTGTCATCGATTCTGAGCCATGTCACCAAGAGTCTCCAACTATTGGTCACGATAGTCACGTGGACTCCAACCAAGTAGTCTGCATCTACCAAAATGGCTCAGACCAGAAGCTAGTGACCTCAAGCACTGATGTCACATTTTGGTTTGACCACCCGTAACTTACATTCAACTGTCTTCAACACTAATCAGCATTTCACGTAGTGGTAATCGGTGTTCAGGCATATGTGACACATGGCCTAACCATCTCAGTTGATGAAGATTTACAGCCTCATCAACTGATTCACCATCATTATCTAATATACTGCGAATTAATATGTATACAACTACGAAGTTTATTCATCACTGCAAAACAACAAATACTGGTAAATGATGCGTATTAAGAAGTAATTTCTTAAATCCTACTACAATACTTAAGATTAAGGTGTTATGTTGTAGTTCATGATTGGAATATAACACAGAATTAGTCATTGTTGTATTGTAAGTTATATGGCATTTTTAAATTTCAGGAACTGTTGAATTCTCTTTAATTCTACATGTTCGATTCATTGCTTTCATTCGTTATTGTTTTTTTCTCAGTATACTACTGTAGTGTGCGAGAACATCAGTTGGTACAAGCAAATGTATTTGAACACAATATTACAGAATCTCTTAGTAAAATCTAAGAGTCATACAGTAAATACTTCATATGCAAAAGATGAATCAATCGTCTCAGAATTCATTATTCTTTTGTTTCCATATCATTCTCTTGTTATTGATCTTTTTAATTTTCTGCCGTCACATATTTCACTTTTGATTTATAATGCATACTACTTATACCTATCAATATCAGTAGTACACATCATAATAGATTATTATGTAGTTCATTGATTAGAAAATGGTGTATATGAGATATCTCTATTCCATTTTCAATATTTTATTTAAAGTAATTGATTAGGGAAAAAGTGAAACTTGATAATCATGGTAAAAATGAACTTTTGAGAATGATTTAAATTTTCAACTTCTCACTAATCATGTACAAACACTTGTTATTTATTTTTTATTTACATCATTTTGATAGAATGGTTTGATTAATACATGAACAACAATAAAGACTAGGAATTCTTTGATAATCATCTTGATATTCAGCTTTCATTATAGTCTGTTGTTGTTGTTGTCGTCGTCGTCGCTGTTGTTGTTGACGTTGATGTTGATGATGTTCACTACTAATTTCTTCATCAGTAGTTTTCATTTCATTCAATTCAGTTTGAATAATATCATCCACTGATGTATTCAATGTTTGTTCAATATAAATTGATGAATTATAACTAAATTTACACCAATGTAAGATTTTCAATGTATGAAAATAATAAGTGAAATAGTATTTGATTAAATGTCGAAATTTCGAGGATTGACATAATAACATTGGTAATATGAATAGAAATCTTTGACTAGACCATATTCTAAATAAGCCAGATATAAGTTGAATAGAACATATTTGATTCATAGATTTTGTTAATAACATACTACTATTTAATGTATTTGTAAGTAGTGGTAATAAGCTTGAATGATTTGTTTTAATATTATAAATTCCATTGAAATTTGTATTGAAATGTTGTTTAAATGAATGAATATAATTTGGTATTATAATATTACCATAGAACCATTCAATAATATCAGCTAAATCGAATAGAATATACATAAGACTTAAACAAATTGTTAATTGTGTTGGTTCAGTAAATATAGTTTGTTGATGATTGGAATGATGAATTGATGTTTTTAGTGGAATAATTGTTTGTTCTGTTTTCCAGTTTCTATGAATATTGTCAGGATTCGAACAAGGATTTGCATGATATATACGGGATTTATGTATAGCTATCAAACTAAGTAATACAATTGAACTGATTATTAACATATAAGGTAATACTGAATGACAAACCTATAAAACAATGAGGTTAAAAAGAGAAAAGAAAAGAGAAAATCAGGATAAAGTTGCCATGGCGAAGTATATCAAAGAATCTTTATCAATATACTTGCATAGATGGTATAGTCATTAGTGAACTCTTTAAATTAGTTTATTCATTGATTACCTGTGTGTAAAACTGAAGGTAACTATTATATCTAGATACTTATATTCTTGATATACCTCGTATAACTTCAGCACTAGAACTCTAGAGCTTTTACAAGTTGCAATGCGAAGAAAGAAGACTAGTGAAAAGAATGTTATTCCCAGACAGTAACAATTATAGTATAAAATTGTTAGGTATTTATAGTTTTTAGTAAGAAACGAAAACATCATTACAGTCCTCCAATCCGCATACAGTGGAGTCATTAGCATTGTCCAATCGGGAAGCTACATGTAGGGATTCTAGAATATTCTTCTAAAAGGTGATTAGATGGAATATCTTCGGCTTTTTCTGATTTTCTTACAACTTCCTCGAGGTCACCTGTGGACTGTCCTCACAGGCACATAGTTTTTGCGCTAAGAATTTTATTTTTTATTAAACCTGACCAATGTGTTTATTCAAAGACAATTTGTTAAGAATATACAAAATGAAATTCTGTATAGTTTATTATATAGTATTCTAAGATTGATCAATGAGATTAAACTATTTTAATAAAAGGAGATTGATTCAAATTATACACCAATTAGTTATGATCTGAATGATAATCAGAATAGCAATTTGAGACATTAGGTAATATGGCTAAGAAGTGATCACAGATTAGCTCAGATTCATTCAATCGCTATCTAGATAATAGATTTTAGTATATATTCATACATATCTTTTCATTTCTTCTACTCTAACTACATTCACTATATTAAGTGGATCTTTATTATTGTCCTTTATTGTTCACTTTGTGTTGCGGTGATCTAGAAAACTTCTCATAAAGAAAAGAAAGATTCAAGAAATAATAAGAAGCATTTTATCCAATCAGTGTTCATTTGAAGTTTAGCCAGAAACATCAAAAAAGTGAAAAGTTACATGTGGAATTCCTGATTGGCTGATTACCTACACTGCTACTATGTTTAGTAGAATTCCAGAATCTTGGGGAAACCCAACGACATCTAAAATACTATAAAAACCCTATATTTTTTTTTACTGAAACGAACGTTTTGAGTAAAGTGCTTTTTGTATATTTTGCGCCTTTTCCCTTGTGTTTAGGTTGCTATTTAGTTCTAGTCTGGGGATTACGCGAATTGCTTAGGAACTGAATATAGTGTTCACTTAGCAGGACTTATCACTTTGCTTATTTCATCACATTATGCTTATGTGGTATGATCACTTAGTCAAATGCACATATATATCAAGCTCTACATTCTTTATGATTAACAGACAGGATCATATTTTTACTTCGTTATATAAGAATCAAATTGATACTAGAGTCATTATATTAATCATGTAAAATGTTCATGTTCCTTGTTCAGAAATAATTATCAGAATAGGGGAGATTGCAGCAATTTCAAAAGGTGAATTCATGAAACAATCTAAGATAGACTACAATTGAAACTTAGGAATCTGAGGATTCCCATATTTATTATTATTTATTTAAACACATAAAGATTGGTTCAAAAGAGCATCAAATACATATGTGCCACATAAATCATTCGATTTATGTGAGGGCTGGGATACTGCTTGGGTGCTCAAACCGAAAAAAGCAATTTTCTCTAGAATCACACCCTAAGCCTTCGATATAAAGGTCTGATCCACAAGACAGTGGAGCAACGTCAGATGATGCAGTTCCATGGCAGACGGTGACCAACAGTAGGTTCATACGCCATTTATACACTGAAGATCCTAGAGTCCATGTACACCATTGGTTCGGAATCAGGGTCATACAAATCCCCTAGGTTGATCCTCTATATATACAGCAACTTGGATAAATTTTTTGTTCTCACAATTTCGTAATGATTACTCTCGCTGCGAGAAGGCAGTAAATATGACTTCCCTGGCAGTGTTTGTATATGTGTGACCATGTGAGAGCATTTCGATAGAGAAAGCTGACTCCCCACACTCTCGGCGGTACCAGGGCATTTAGGGCGCGAGGATTCCCATACTAGGACGATACGACGGTTCAGTGCTTTCAGGTTTTCAATGATGGTCGAAATTAAATCATCTCACAAATTCATCATACATAATGAATCAATTTATATTTAGTAGTTCTTATATTCAAAACAATTCATTAAATTCATGTTCATTATTCTCAATAAACGATCATTAAGTTCATAACATCAAAATGACAACATTGGATCATCATAATATCAATGTTGGTTAAACATATCCTTAAGATGTTCTGCTGAATCTTGGAGCTTTTTAAAGGTGATTACTTATGAATACATTATTTGAGTCACAACAGTGAATCCATGGACTTCGATTTTATTTTATTGGAAACTTGTCAGCAAGATATAACTTGATGGATCACGATTTAGAATCTAAATAAATAAGCAATAGGTTTAAATTTGAATGTGAACATTAACAACGGTATACAGTTACACTTCCTTGACTAGTCATAAATATAAAACGACAAATGTCCTACATTTGACTGATAGTTAAGATCCATATCTACTAAAAAACAGTTACGAGTGCAAATAACATCGAGATGTCTGTACAAGACACTGACGACCAAGTGACCAATTAATGAAGATGTTTTGCTTCCCAAAATGTAGTCTGTTCAATAGCATATTCTTACTAAGCGGCGAGACTATAATAATTTATGGACAAATCAATCAGATTCATGAAAACAAATCTTAGATTTCAGCGTAAAATTCTTTATCCATTCGCTTATATTGTATCTTGGCATTTTAGCTGATATTAGTTCGTAATGAAAACCTTAAATTTAATCCTTATCCCTAACCATCAGCTGTAAATCGCAACCCTTATCATTCATACAAGTTTAAAATCCTTATTTAGTCCTTGTTAGTAGGTGGACATTTCCAAGGCTACTTTAGCGTTGCTCAAAGATCGTCCATAGAATATAGTCTTACCTACTAACCTATTCAGACATTTCGATGTAATCTAGAAATAGATTATTAAAGTACTCATTACAACTTTAAAGATTTTTTATGAAGATAAGAGGTCGAATAAAACAACTCATTTTAGAATATATCAAGACTGGAAGTATGGTAAAAGGTCAAAATGATAATCAACATCTTGTGTTGAATGTTAATAGAGAGATTTTGGTGAGCATATATAGTATAAATCTATTATCACCCATGAAGTAGATTAGATTGATGATACCAAACTTCTATATCATGAAATCAATTAAGATATTGACTGAACATAGTGAACATATATACATGCAAGAATGATCTTTTTACAAAACGCCGTTTTGCAACATCCTGAATTCTTCCATTTTCGAAAATGGGAGAATTTCGTCAAAAAGCCGGCTTTCACTCGAGAACAACTATATTTTCTTCATGAGTGTCTTCGCTAGCATGTTCTACCAACAAGTGTAAGATATAGACCTCCAATCAATTGCCCGTTAGCATGGAAAATAGTTGAGAAAATTGGAAGAAAAATGCTACATCTAATGATAACGGATGCACACTACAGGATCCGCAAATACCAACACATCATAGAAGACTAAAAGATGAAGCTACAAAGGATACTCACGTCAGAACATTTGGAAATCTTGAAAACAGCCATCGAGATATCATGCAAACGACACAGAGAACAAAGAAGAAACACCTTAAAGAAAAAACTATACATGATCTCAAAACCACCCTTGGAAGAAAACACAAACAACTGCGTGATCAATCTGTCAAAACAACCACTAACAAATACGGAAGAACACCTACTCCAAAAAGGATTAAACTACAGTACAAGCGACACCTCAGAGATGGAATTCGTTGCGGCACTAGAGTCATCACTCGGTTTTAAACAATTACTCTGTAGGATTCTTGTGAACCGGTTTACTTGAGAAGATTGTCAACATCATCCGAAATTCATACGTCGGACTACAGCGCAAAGTGGTGCATGGACGATAGCTCACAGATGCATTCTAAGTAAGGACCGGATTCAGACAAGGCTGCCTGTTCATTGGATTATGAATACCTAGATATCTGAACTATTTAATTACTAAATTACTCAGAATGTGATGTATACTACTTATATCTGTTGATATAAGTAGTATAAACACCAATCAGAAGTAGAAACCCTAACAGAAGAAGGCTAAAAAGATTGAGTTAAAAAGCATAAAAAAGAAATTAGAAAAAATTTTGTGAATTAATTTTGAATGAAGATGAAAAGAATGAAATCTTATTGATTTATTGTTTGAGTAGAGTATTAGAATAGAAAACTTTGCCATGAGTACAATATTATTCTCACCGTTGAATGAGCACAGTAAACGCCCATTGTTTAGATTAGGGAGTGATTAATTTTACTATAAATTCTTTACTTTTTTATTTTTATTTTGGGATGAAAATTATATATCCCACCTAATTGATTATGTAAACCACAAGATTTTGTTAAGACCATGGTCTTGCTACTTAATACTACTCAATAGAATAACAGTAGTATTATCATGTAAATATTCTCATTTTCATATTTAATCGGAAAAAAATAGGTGAGACTATAATTTATGGATGAACAAATCAGGTATAAGATAACAGGTCACGGATTTTGGCGCGAAATTCACTCATCCACTTGGTTAAATAGATATATGGCATTATAGCTGATGTCAGTTTGTTATGAAAACCCCATGTGTTATTCCTAACTGTAACGATCAAATGTAAGTCATAATTCGAATTCCTCACACTGGTTCATAAATTTCATTTGATCTTAGTTATGAAGCGGATACTCTCAAGGTCTATTGAGTGTCGCTCAACTGTTGTCCATAAATTATAGATTTGGTATTGACTACATGATTCAGAATTGACCAACATAAAGCAGTATTCCTTAATATTTAGCATTCATTATCTATTCTTTAACTATATTTGTA